TGGTAAAATCCCTCTATCATCTTGTTTAATCATTATAATATTGAATCTGGTAAAATCCCTCCATCATCTTGTTTAATCATTATAATATTGAATCTGGTAAAATCCCTATATCATCTTGTTTAATCATTATAATATTGAATCTGGTAAAATCCCTCCATCATCTTGTTTAATCATTATAATATTGAATCTGGTATCATCATCTTGTTTAATCATTATAATATTGAATCTGGTAAAATCCCTCCATCATCTTGTTTAATCATTATAATATTGAATCTGGTAAATCATTATAATATTGAATCTGGTAAAATCCCTCCATCATCTTGTTTAATCATTATAATATTGCTATCAATCATCATCTTGTTTAATCATTATAATATTGAATCTGGTAAAATCCCTCCATCATCTTGTTTAATCATTATAATATTGAATCTGGTAAAATCCTATCATCTTGTTTAATCATTATAATATTGAATCTGGTAAAATCCTTGTTTAATCATTATAATATTGAATCTGGTAAAATCACTATATCATCTTGTTTAATCATTATAATATTGAATCTGGTAAAATCCCTATATCATCTTGTTTAATCATTATAATATTGAATCTGGTAAAATCCCTCCATCATCTTGTTTAATCATTATAATATTGAATCTGGTAAAATCCCTCCATCATCTTGTTTAATCATTATAATATTGAATCTGGTAAAATCACTATATCATCTTGTTTAATCATTATAATATTGAATCTGGTAAAATCCCTATAATCATTATAATATTGAATCTGATAAAATCCCTCCATCATCTTGTTTAATCATTATAATATTGAATCTGGAGCTATCACTATATCATCTTGTTTAATCATTACAATATTGAATCTGGTAAAATCCCTCCATCATCTTGTTTAATCATTATAATATTGAATCTGGTAAAATCCCTCCATCATCTTGTTTAATCATTATAATATTGAATCTGGTAAAATCCCTCCATCATCTTGTTTAATCATTATAATATTGAATCTGGTAAAATCCCTCCATCATCTTGTTTAATCATTATAATATTGAATCTGGTAAAATCACTAAATCATCTTGTTTAATCATTATAATATTGAATCTGGTAAAATCACTATATCATATTGTTTAATCATTATAATATTGAATCTGGTAAAATCCCTCCATCATCTTGTTTAATCATTATAATATTGAATCTGGTAAAATCCCTCCATCATCTTGTTTAATCATTATAATATTGAATCTGGTAAAATCCCTCTATCATCTTGTTTAATCATTATAATATTGAATCTGGTATCAATTGTTTATCATCTTGTTTAATCATTATAATATTGAATCATCTTGTTTAATCATTATAATATTGAATCTGGTAAAATCACTATATCATCTTGTTTAATCATTATAATATTGAATCTGGTAAAATCCCTATCTTGTTTAATCATTATAATATTGAATCTGGTAAAATCACTATATCATCTTGTTTAATCATTATAATATTGAATCTGGTAAAATCACTATATCATCTTGTTTAATCATTATAATATTGAATCTGGTAAAATCCCTATATCATCTTGTTTAATCATTATAATATTGAATCTGGTAAAATCACTATATCATCTTGTTTAATCATTATAATATTGAATCTGGTAAAATCACTATATCATCTTGTTTAATCATTATAATATTGAATCTGGTAAAATCACTATATCATCTTGTTTAATCATTATAATATTGAATCTGGTAAAATCCCTCCATCATCTTGTTTAATCATTATAATATTGAATCTGGTAAAATCCCTCCATCATCTTGTTTAATCATTATAATATTGAATCTGGTAAAATCCCTCCATCATCTTGTTTAATCATTATAATATTGAATCTGGTAAAATCCCTCCATCATCTTGTTTAATCATTATAATATTGAATCTGGTAAAATCACTATATCATCTTGTTTAATCATTATAATATTGAATCTGGTAAAATCCCTCCATCATCTTGTTTAATCATTATAATATTGAATCTGGTAAAATCCCTCCATCATCTTGTTTAATCATTATAATATTGAATCTGGTAAAATCCCTCCATCATCTTGTTTAATCATTATAATATTGAATCTGGTAAAATCCCTCTATCATCTTGTTTAATCATTATAATATTGAATCTGGTAAAATCCCTCTATCATCTTGTTTAATCATTATAATATTGAATTTGGAGCTATCACTATATCATCTTGTTTAATCATTATAATATTGAATCTGGTAAAATCACTATATCATCTTGTTTAATCATTATAATATTGAATCTGGTAAAATCCCTCCATCATCTTGTTTAATCATTATAATATTGAATCTGGTAAAATCCCTCCATCATCTTGTTTAATCATTATAATATTGAATCTGGAGCTATCACTATATCATCTTGTTTAATCATTACAATATTGAATCTGGTAAAATCCCTCATCTTGTTTAATCATTATAATATTGAATCTTGTTTAATCATTATAATATTGAATCTGGTAAAATCCCTCCATCATCTTGTTTAATCATTATAATATTGAATCTGGTAAAATCTGGTTTAATCATTATAATATTGAATCTGGTAAAATCACTATATCCCTTATATCATCTTGTTTAATCATTATAATATTGAATCTGGTAAAATCACTATATCATCTTGTTTAATCATTATAATTTGAATCTGGTAAAATCACTATATCATCTTGTTTAATCATTATAATATTGAATCTGGTAAAATCACTATATCATCTTGTTTAATCATTATAATATTGAATCTGGACCTATCAGTATATCATCTTGTTAATCATTATAATATTGAATCTGGTAAAATCCCTCTATCATCTTGTTTAATCATTATAATATTGAATCTGGTAAAATCCCTCCATCATCTTGTTTAATCATTATAATATTGAATCTGGTAAAATCCCTCCATCTTGTTTAATCATCTGGTATCACTATATCATCTTGTTTAATCATTATAATATTGAATCTGGTAAAATCCCTATATCATCTTGTTTAATCATTATAATATTGAATCTGGTAAAATCCCTCCATCATCTTGTTTAATCATTATAATATTGAATCTGGTAAAATCCCTCCATCATCTTGTTTAATCATTATAATATTGAATCTGGTAAAATCCCTCCATCATCTTGTTTAATCATTATAATATTGAATCTGGTAAAATCCCTCCATCATCTTGTTTAATCATTATAAAATTGAATCTGGTAAAATCACTATATCATCTTGTTTAATCATTATAATATTGAATCTGGAGATATCACTATATCATCTTGTTTAATCATTATAAAATTGAATCTGGTAAAATCACAATATCACCTTGTTTAATCATTATAATATTGAATCTGGTAAAATCCCTCCATCATCTTGTTTAATCATTATAATATTGAATCTGGTAAAATCCCTCTATCATCTTGTTTAATCATTATAATATTGAATCTGGAGCTGCTATCACTATATCATCTTGTTTAATCATTATAATATTGAATCTGGTAAAATCCCTCCATCATCTTGTTTAATCATTATAATATTGAATCTGGTAAAATCCCTCTATCATCTTGTTTAATCATTATAATATTGAATCTGGTAAAATCCCTCCATCATCTTGTTTAATCATTATAATATTGAATCTGGTAAAATCCCTCCATCATCTTGTTTAATCATTATAAAATTGAATCTGGTAAAATCACTATATCATCTTGTTTAATCATTATAATATTGAATCTGGAGCGATCAACATATCATCTTGTGAAATCATTATAAAATTGAATCTGATAAAATCCCTCCATCATCTTGTTTAATCATTATAATATTGAATCTGGTAAAATCCCTCTATCATCTTGTTATATCATTATAATATTGAATCTGGTAAAATCCCTCTATCATCTTGTTTAATCATTATAATATTGAATCTGGAGCTATCACTATATCATCTTGTTTAATCATTATAATATTGAATCTGGTAAAATCCCTCCATCATCTTGTTTAATCATTATAAAATTGAATCTGGTAAAATCACTATATCATCTTGTTTAATCATTATAATATTGAATCTGGTAAAATCCCTCCATCATCTTGTTTAATCATTATAATATTGAATCTGGTAAAATCACTATATCATCTTGTTTAATCATTATAATATTGCTGGTAAAATCCCTCCATCATCTTGTTTAATCATTATAATATTGAATCTGGAGCGATCAACATATCATCTTGTTTAATCATTATAATATTGAATCTGGTAAAATCCCTCCATCATCTTGTTTAATCATTATAATATTGAATCTGGTAAAATCCCTCTATCATCTTGTTTAATCTTAATAATATTGAATCTGGTAAAATCCCTATATTATCTTGTTTAATCATTATAATATTGAACCTTGTAATATCCCTATATTATCTTGTTTAATCATTATAATATTGAATCTGGAGCTATCACTATATCATCTGACAATTCGCGCATCTAAAATAAAAAATTCCATTAAAATCAAGTCCTTTGTATAATATTCATTATCGTTTATGTGGAAACATATCAGTTTTTTTTGCTTCTTTTTTCATTTCGTAAATTTATTCCAGTGACATACATTACTATGAAATACGAATGAACTAAGCACGCAACGTGTTACGTCAATCATATCAAACATGACTTAAAAAGAAACAATAACAATATCAACATGTCAACATAATCATAATTCTAATTCGGGCAAAATATGATAAAAAGAAAGATTTACACGGAGACTACTGACAAAATAAAAGGAAAATAAGACAACGTGTTCAAGAAGAGTAAGCGTCTTCTGCTTCGTTGATGAGACTAGACATGTAAATATTGCTCAATCCAAGTAATTAATGTCACGTTCTCAAATGAGAACAAGTTCTAAAACAACTCAAAGTTCATGATGTAGACATCATAACATATCACATATAAAATCAACTGTTATAGATAAAACTACATAATACCATGTAAAGTGTATAACAGCCAGTCTTTCCCGCGTTTCCTTTGAATAAGCATTGAATATTCCTGGCAAAGTGAAACGTTCTGAAACCCTCAGCAAAGAGAGCTCGTAGGATCTGAAGATGTTCCAGGTAATCGGACGTCTTACTGTCAGCACTGATCCGGTGAAAACTGACAAAGAGCTGATGTACATTCTTCAGTAGACCATTCGTTAACATCCATGACAACAATAACGTCTCGCCTCCTCCTACGTCAACAGCCATGTAGTCAACATTTCCCTGAAAATTCAGTGTCCATCTATCAAATATGATAATTTGTATACCTGATGTGACAATCAGTGTCTATCTATTAAATATGATAATTTTTATACCTGATATGGCAATCAGTGTCTACCTATTAAATATAATAATTTATGTACCTGATGTGACAATCAGTGTCTATCTATTAAATATAATATTTTTATACCTGATGTGACAATCGGTGTCTATCTATTAAATATAATAATTTTATACCTGATGTGACAATCAGTGTCTATCTATTAAATATAATATTTTTATACCTGATAAGGCAATAAGTGTCTATCAAATCTAATCATTTATATACCTAATGTAGACATATCAGACGAATACCTACAAACCATTCGACTATTACAAACCTCATGTAGACACAAATAGCAAATAGCATAACAGACCAGATGTAGCCACAATCAAAGAATATCAATACCGGTAATGCACACTTATCCAAACATAACACAAAAGTACCCTTCGGTTATCCATACACACTAAATACTTGAATAAATAAAGATACACGGTATTGTAACAATAAAGTTAACATACCTTTGATTTCAGTGTCCCGACCGGAGAATTACCTCCTATCTCAGTAGAGCTTTGAGCAGCTGCCATTGTGCTACAAAATATATAACGAATCCATTTGAACAGGTGTGATCAAACATTGGTCTAAATTTCAGGGTTGCAACAAAATCACTCAATACACATTACATATATCAAAATACGTGAGCAAGAAATGAGCAGATAAAAGAAGACCACAACGCCAAAAACTCAATAATAACAACGGTATCGCACATCCATACGTTATACAGATACTCACAACAGTATCGCACGTCCATACGTTATACAGATACTCACAACATTATCGCATGTCCATAAGTTATACGGATACTCACAAGAGTATCGCACGTCCATACGTTATACAGATACTCACAACATTATCGCACGTCCATACGTTATACAGATACTCACAACATTATCGCATGTCCATACGTTATACGGATACTCACAACAGTATCGCACGTCCATACGTTATACAGATACTCACAACAGTATCGCACGTCCATACGTTATACAGATACTCACTACAGTATCGCACGTCCATACGTTATACAGATACTCACAACAGTATCGCACATCCATACGTTATACAGATACTCACAACAGTATCGCACGTCCATACGTTATACAGATATTCACAACATTATCGCATGTCCATACGTTATACGGATACTCACAACAGTATCGCACGTCCATACGTTATACAGATACTCACTACAGTATCGCACGTCCATACGTAATATAGATACTCACGACAGTATCGCACGTCCATACGTTATACAGATACTCATAACAGTATCGCACGTCCATACGTCATACTGATACACAAGACAAGGACACATGTATGTATGTACATAATAAACTAAGTGACATATTAAACTTTCAATTAAGTAAGGATTTACGACGTGTTGCGACAGCTTTTCGACACTTTTTTGTTCAAAGATGTGTTTTGTTACACTAGGAATGGTCTTTATTTATATTTCGTAATCGTTACTCGATAGTCTACCCATCAAATTCAAAATGTATGTTTTGAGAAATATTGTCCTCGTATTATGTGGATTTTTGAAACTTTATTTATCATTATCGTTATTACTACAACTTAACCACTAATACGTATTTATATATTACTGTATTCAAAATGCAGATATGTCTCAGAAATGAGGGGTTTCAAGTATCCTAATATTGGCCAAGGGGTCGGGTGACACATAATACGGAAGTCGTGAAAAAAAAACACAAACAAACAAACAAATGTTTTCTGGGAAACGATTTTTGTAACTTATTTAATATTCACCAGTTCCATCGAAAAAATGTTAGACTCGATGAAAAAAAGGTCTATAAATTGTCCCAGCTGAGCTTCGAACCTACTGCCATAACGGAGTCCCTTGTTAATTTATCAACCGTTTACAAAAGCAGGTAACCTGTAAAGAATCCGGTATTGGGATCTGCACTTGTGAAAAGTCAAAATTTTCTGATGAATAATTTTTTGAAAGTCATATCTAATTTTTTAAGGGGAGAATATAGAGATATCAAAAATGAATAGAAAACGACAGGTCAGTGTGCTTATTTTCTCATCGCATATTGCTGGTCCTTGTTAGTATTCTTGCTGTATTTTAAAGCTTTTTTAATCTAAAACATCGTCGTTTTTCTTATCATTAAAACTATGTGATAATTTATGGTATCCATCATTATCTGTTCCCTTCTGTTTTGATTTCTTAAATAAACAAGCAAAACTCTTTTTTCATCATGAAAGGTTGCATTTTTTTTTAATTAACATCACATAGCTACAATAATTACTGACTTATTTTTCTATACTCAACATCTATAGACATCAAACTTAACTGAAATAAAAACGACGGGTCAGTGATCTACTTTGTTTTACTATTTTAGTTTGATTTACCTCCCTTCAACTAAAAATTAAATTATCAATGTTTTTAGTTTCTCTTTGGTTTAAATCTGACAACCAAAGTTAACAAAGTTATTTGAATGTATAATATAAAATCACAAAATAATCAATAAATGACGAGCATTTGTGATACTCTAAATTTTATCTGCCTAAAAATCATTAAAACACATAATATTTACATAGAGAAGAGTAAAATCACAAAAACATTTTCTGTTAAAAAAGTGTGAATTCTCCTACAAAAGATAATATCTGTATGGTTGAATAAAAAACTACATTGACATTTCAGATGCGATAAGATAAAAATGATAAATTATGTTAATGAAAATAAAATGAATCAAAAGCACATTCACAGGTGTCATTATAAAACTGCTTAAATGCTGAAATGATATCATGAATCCCCTGCCATGAGACAAGCTATAAAAACATTGTTGATGTATGCACAACCTATGGAAATTAAACAATGGAAATTATACTATGGAAATTAAACTATGGAAATTATATACAATAGAAATTATATACAATGGAAATTAAACCATGGAAATTATACAATGGAAATTATATACAATTATATACAATGGAAATTCAATATGCCTGGTTTGCTGGTTTTAACAAACAATGCTTTTAAACAAAAATTTGGGTTTCATGTCTAGCAACCTTGAAATATGGTTGATTTTTTATTTATGAATTCATCGATTAAGTTCAATAAAATTCTACACTGCACTGGATACACAGTAGGCCTAGTTGGGCTGACACTCTATCCGTTTGTAACAAGATGCCAGATAATGTATGGTGATGCTGGTGATATCTTTGATGCAGCAGTCGATATTAGGTATAACATTCCATCGTTCAACTCTGTTTGTGGTTTGTGGTGTCCGAGCTGAAATTAGCAAGAATTGGGGAACTATTGATAATGAAATTATTATAAACCTGATATGTAAAAAGAGAATGCTAAATAACTGGATCACTGACAAGCAATTTCAATGTTTCCAATAAGAATCTATTTCCCTTGTACCTACATTGTATCTTACTAATTTGCTGATATACGATGTACACTCTAGATTTCAATTCCATTTAATTGGTCAGTCAAATAAAGACAACTGCTGTGGGTGAAATAATATGTGCTGTACTTTGAGATTTCTTGACAGTATATATCAATAATGCATCCAGAGATCGATTTAATCTTTTAAAATCAGATTACACAATAAGTGATGATATCTGATGTAAGCTTTATGTATGAGAACCACATCAACATGGGGATAATCCAAGACTAAAGGGTTGGGGCATTACATGTACTAGCTGGCCCAAACAATGAAACGTTGAGAACTTAAATAGTATATATATGTATGTATACTATGCAGATTAGGATGGATGGTTTTGAAGGACCCCACTATATAATCAATTCATACAACAGTATCGTTATATAGAACAAACCAAAGTACTCGTTTAGTCAGTGTTATGCATACAATGTACAACAAATTTTGAAAATAAAATGGGAGAGTGCTTGGCATCATGGCAAATATGTCAATCATATTCTTATTTTATTTACTTATTTTCTAATCAACACGTGTGAATTTGACTACAGGTGATGCAAACATGCTCCTGCATGTTACAGGTAGTATTTCATATAAATTTATGTTTCTCTATAATTAGATAGTAGGCCTACTAATAGGAGGGGGTGAATTTGTGTACCCATAGCCGAAACCCGTACCAGGACTTCAAGATATAATCTATATCTTTTTTTTCTGAGGTTAAAACTTGTACGCCGCACTCAACCGTGAAATTTTCTAACTTTTCGCATATTACAGCTTATTTACGGTTTTGAAATTCGAAACAATAATTGTACCAATTTGACCCAGAAAAGAGGCGTAATTTATATCTTATCTTGCATTTATTCTGACCCCAAGCTAGGAGGAGATCACTCCTTCAGTCTGTACAGAAGAGACTGATTTGTTCTCATCTAAATTAGTGAACAATCTTCATTTTCAGTAGAAATGAACTTGAAATAAAATACTGCAATACCATGTATAGCAAATCTAAGTAAGTCTAGCAAGTCTTGTACACGTGTACTTCTTCTCTTATCTCAATTTTATGATATATTTTACAACAGATAATGTACATTAAACACAGTGTCAATTACCATCACACTTTAATTAGTATTTATTGTATTGCATGGTCACTTGTGTTGTCCGTCTGTTTGATTTTCGGTCTAATAAAAATATATTTTAGTGAAAAAAATCTTTGTTGAATACTGAAAAAAACACTTCTATGGTGATATGATGCTTACTCAAAGCAGAAAAACGATGAAATATTTTTGACAGTCCAAAATTATATTAAACTAACTAAGCGTTTTATCAAACTTTTGCCAGCTACCTGATACATACCTTTATACATACAGGACGTAAGGCGGTATGCCTGTCGGATCGATCTAGACGGCAAACATCTCTCTCCTTTCCATGCTTGGTCAATTTTGTTGTTATTTCTTCTGTATAGTCGCTACATTGAATTGATCTTTAATTGTTGTACAAATGGTCAGATCGATAATATTGACAGTAACCATGGGAATCACGTCGCCATATAAACATTCGACCGGTAATCGCGAGTCTCCAACTGAATAAAGAGGCCAGGACGGTTTCCAGTTCTATAGAACATTGTCAAATGTTCATTTGCATTTCGGACACATATTTCGATATGCTGAAACTGGTATTGGTTATTAACACCTAATTATAGTTTGCGTGTACCCAATTCTTGTAGACATGCCATAGACAGCACTAGCGTGGTTCTGTTTACAGTCGTTGTCTTCCGGTCAAAGGGTGGCTTATGTTGTAAAAATCAATATTTTCCATTATCAAATAGAAAAGGACATTTACTCAGGTAGAGTGATGACTTTAAACATAAAACAAACTTTAAATCAACTTCGCGTTTATGTAACTTGGCTCCTTTGACCCGTCACACCCAAGTTGTTTAGAAACTTTCCAATACAGAACCTTTCTAACGCGCAAATGTTCTAGTTCGTGACGCAACATTGAAATCAAATGGTTGCAAATATGACACACGGACAGCACACATTTTTTGGAATTCAAATGCAACTAATTTGACAAGTAAACCTTGTACAATGCTCACCGGTGGTCAGATCATCTAATTTAGTCAATATGTGTTGGGATCAGTTGTTGTGCATTCTCTGAGGTCATAAACATATAAAGAAGTATTATTATACAAAAAGGCTATCTATCATTTTGTTTTCACAACTTTAATTGTGAAAGGAAACAATCTGCCACGTTTGGATGACTTATTTAAACATTAACCCCTTCATGGCTTACGCGCTTTGTTGAATATACTCATAATGTCCAGGAATGCCAACTAAATATGACAAAATAACATGAGATTTGTACACACACAAGACTTCTGAGAGTTTTATCGCAATTTTTCGAGTCGTAAGTCATATAAGATTGGTGATATATCTTTATCTGATTTTTAAAGATTTGGCAGGTGAAGCTGATGACAATAATTTTATGAAAGACAAAAATACTGATTGTGTGTATCCTGAACTGGATGTAGATTTTGACATCAATGGATTATTGACTGTAATTAAGAGTTTATCTCGGGATAAATCTGCTGGTATTGATATGATTCTCAATGAATATTTCATTGAATATAAAGACATATTTTCACCTATTCTATTAAGGTTATTTAATTCAATGTTATAAACAGGATATTTTCCAGAGTCTTGGGCTCAGAGCGTTATTATTCCTTTACATAAAAAGGGTGATAAAATAATGTTAATAATTACAGGGGAATCACATTAATTAGTCAAACTATTCACGTCATTGTTAAATAATCGTCTATTAAAATGGGGTACACGAGGAAATCTTGTTTCTGATGCTCATTAATGTTAGATTAAAACAATTAATGAGTCAATTTCGCACGCAAGGACACAATCTTAACATTGAATCAGGTCGTTATAATAACATTCCCAGAGAGAATTTGTATTTCTGTCATACTATAATGAATGAAACGTCTGTACATAATTATGTCTTCGAATAGACTTGTCCTCCGCCATCTTGTACATTACTTAAGAATTTGACACGATTAATTATGTATATTTGTATCCTATATGCTGTATTGCATTTGGAATAAATAAACATGTAAACTTGAGAGACATTCAGAACTTGTCTTACCTGTTCATTATTATGTTCCTCTCGCATTGGTAGTCCTGGTTGAGCTCTTTGAAAAAGTTGTTGTTAATACTCTTTTCATTGGATCTGTACAGAATAACAAAAGAAAGCATTATCGTAGAATAGGATATGTATTTAATTTGTTACATTTTAGATAAGATCAAGCTTCATTACCAATTTGTGTATCACATCTTTAAATAACCTCCTTTATTTGCTGACTGTTCAGATTTGTTCTATTGTGAAGAAATAGCTTCCTGGGCCATTGCAACTCGTGACTTGAGAGTGTCAACACTTTAGATTTTAATCTATTTTATAAAATATTGTTTTCACAGGCATTAGAAAAGGTATTTGATTTCTGCGAAAAGCAGAAACTTTGATTCGTTTCCGTTTCATAACCTCCGCAAAGGCTTGATAGAACGGAAAAAACTCAGACTCACTTTATGATTTCTCACTTTATGAATCTCAAATGAATGGAAACTCATATAAGATCCTCTTTTTACAGGACATGTGCAATGAATTATGAAAACAACATATATTACTCATTATTGTTGACTCGAATAAAAGCGCTCAAAGGAGATTCCTGTGGGAGTGTCCCGGGAAACCCACTTAGTTAAGCACGTGACCTCTACACCTTACCATGGTTGCCAATTCCGGAAACAGAAACTACTCCAATTATCTGACAGAAAAAATACTGAGATGTGCAGTGATACTGCAATATATTTGATAATCATCACTTCTGAATAATTTCAAACGAACCACAAATGCAGGTGTATATTCTGGACCATATCACTATTTAGCTATGAATATTCACCAGTGCATGATGTACTCACGCTATCACATAAGACACACATGGTTTAGAGTTGGTTTCCCTCATCACATCACATGTGTACCAACCCGTCTTCACCCCTCCGTAGACCTTTTTCACGGGACAAAATACTTGCAGTGTGTTCACATACCTGTAATTGCAAATAAATACTTCGAAATTATAGTCCTTCCAATAATCAAATCAATTGCTACATTAAGATCATATTTCAAAACTAAAATAAAAACATTTATTTGCTTTATAGTTCAAAGTTAATGTCATTTTTTCGTTTACATACTTGAAGTACAGATCTGATAATTGGTCAAGCGTCCATTGCTGAAGAGTGGATGTGTCTGGTATAGTGTTCTGTAAAGGGAAAATAACAGTTATCGGTTTTATGCTGCAATTCTGTAATTGAACATAAAGACAAACTGAAATGACGATATTACGTTTAAAGTATTGAAAACAAACCGATCTCAAAAATAAGCATTTTCTGAAAATAAGTCTTTAGTTTATTACTTAAATGAACCTTGATGTTTATTGAATTAAGGGCTAGTGTTCCACATTTATCATCCTTTCACTGTGAGTTTTCCTCGGTCGGCTCCTGGGTTTCAAAAATAGGCCATAAGCACACCTGACGGGTCCTAATTGGACGAAACAGCTGTACAATGTAGTTAAACTGTTTTTATTCCTTTTATTGTATTGTAATTTGTGATTAATGGAGCTATTCACTCGTGTGCCTTTTGAATAATCTGATCATTATGATACAACATGAATGAAATAAGAAGAAGTAATAAACAGATATTCCTGTACGCCATAATTACGACTTTGTTGATAAAATGATATAATTTCTAGACGTTATAATTATGATTTAATTGATATGTAACCAGGTGTTCCAGGTTCCTATTGTGCAGTTTTGTGATATCACATGTATTTTTCATGCAAGTGTCTTGCGTACTGAACCGTACTAATTTGAATAAAATGCATTTCTATGCGCATGCTAAACTCCATCGCGGCACGCACTTTAGCGCGGTTTTCAATCAGTTCATATATCGTCGTCGACCAGACTTGACTTACAGAACTCGACAAATCATACACTGCCTTGCCTGGTATGTTCAGTTTGTTTTCTTATTTAAACGTTATTAGTCTGATACGTTTGCATGTATTCAGTTTAGTTATTTTACATCATTATGCACGTGCATTATCACTTGTATTAAGTTCAGTACTTTAGTTTCGTTTTGTTTATCGTTTAGTCACTTGAGTTATGTTCCGTTTTATTGTCTTTGTAGGGTGTCTTTATTCTACGTGTATTTGTTAATACAACTCTGAACTGAACCCAAGCTGCATTGTTTTAATTTCTACAACACCCCAAGTACAGATAGACTGAGATAATTACTAGCCGTTATAATTAGGATCTGTTGATAAACTGATATAATTACTAGTAGTTATAATGAGGACTTTGTTGATAAACTTATTTATCACTAGGCATAAAAACACTAAACAGATTGTTTGTAGTCTGTGTTTTTGTTTAAGTCACTGAATTTAAACGATCCACACAAGTGTGTACATATAAACAGATGTTCCGAACCTAAGTATAATGAAGATTGATCCCCCGAAATGTAGAGTGTTGTCATTGGCTCAGTTATAATCATTGTTAAGTGAGCGAAGCAAGATTTCTTTATTTCCTTCGTAAAATGAAAAGAGAAAATTGATAAATCGAAAAGCTTCATTTTGCGTACAATGAAACAAAATTATATGATTATGAACCAATTAACTCATATGCAACTGATACATTCAATGTTTATCGTCATTAAGATATTCCCTTCGATGATAAACGGATAAAATCACTGTATATGAATGCAAATTAGAATAAAACATGCCAACATATTGTTAATAAAGAGTGAAACTCTAAAATTTATGTCAGAAAAAAGGTATGATAGCACGTATAACATGTATTCAGTGATCACACAACACCCAACAATCTGAGTGTCACATGTAACATGTATTCAGTGATCACACAACACCCCACAATCTGAGTGTCACATGTAACATGTATTCAGTGATCACACAACACCCCACAATCTGAGTGTCACATGTAACATGTATTCAGTGATCACACAACACCCCACAATCTGGGTATCACATGTAACATGTATTCAGTGATCACACAACACCCCACAATCTGAGTGAAACATGTATCATATATTCAGTGATCACACAGCACCCCACAATCTGAGTGTCACGTGTAATATGTATTCAGTGATCACACAACACCCCACAATCTGAGTGTCACATGTAACATGTATTCAGTGATCACACAACACCCCACAATCTGAGTGTCACGTATAACATGTATTCAGTGATCACACAACACCCAACAATCTGTGTGTCACATGTAACATGTATTCAGTGATCACACAACACCCCACAATCTGAGTGTCACATGTAACATGTATTCAGTGATCACACAACACCCCACAATCTGGGTATCACATGTAACATGTATTCAGTGATCACACAACACCCCACAATCTGAGTGAAACATGTATCATATATTCAGTGATCACACAGCACCCCACAATCTGAGTGTCACGTGTAATATGTATTCAGTGATCACACAACACCCCACAATCTGAGTGTCACATGTAACATGTATTCAGTGATCACACAACACCCCACAATCTGAGTGTCACGTATAACATGTATTCAGTGATCACACAACACCCAACAATCTGTGTGTCACATGTAACATGTATTCAGTGATCACACAACACCCCACAATCTGAGGGTCACGTGTAACATGTATTCAGTGATCACACAGCACCCCACAATCTGAGTGTCACGTGTAACATGTATGCAGTAATCACTGAATATCTTAGTGTGCTAGTGTCATATTTAGCAAACAATTATCACAAAGTATCCCAGGGTGTAGTTGTCACAAGAAACATAGTGATTGTATAGTACCTCAGAGTGTAGTTATCACAGGTGACATACAGTGATCACAGGTAACATACAGTAATCATACGGTATCTCAGGGTGTATTTATCACAGGTAACATACAGTAATCATACGGTATCTCAGGGTGTAGTTGTCACAGGTGACATACAGTGATCACAGGTAACATACAGTAATCATACGGTATCTCAGGGTGTATTTATCACAGGTAACATACAGTGATCATAAGGTATCCAAGGGTGTAGTTATCACAGGTAACATACAGTGATCATACGGTATCCAAGGGTGTAGTTATCACAGGTAACATACAGTGACCATACGGTATCCAAGGGTGTAATTATCACAGGTAACATACAGTGACCATACGGTATCCAAGGGTGTATTTATCACAGGTAACATACAGTGATCATACGGTATCCAAGGGTGTAGTTATCACAGGTAACATACAGTGATCATACGGTATCCAAGGGTGTAGTTATCACAGGTAACATACAGTGATCATATGATATCTCCGGGTGTATTTATCACCGGTTACATACAGTAATCATACGGTATCTCAGGGTGTATTTATCACAGGTAACATACAGTGACCATACGGTATCCAAGGGTGTAATTATCACAGGTAACATACAGTGACCATACGGTATCTCAGGGTGTATTTTTCACAGGTAACATACAGTAATCATACGGTATCCAAGGGTGTAGTTATCACAGGTAACATACAGTGATCATACGGTATCCAAGGGTGTAGTTATCACAGGTAACATAGTGATCATACGGTATCCAAGGGTGTAGTTATCACAGGTAACATACAGTAATCATACGGTATCCAAGGGTGTAGTTATCACAGGTAACATATAGTGACCATACGGTATCCAAGGGTGTAGTTATCACAGGTAACATACAGTGATCATACGGTATTCAAGGGTGTAGTTATCACAGGTAACACACAGTGATCATACGATATCTCAGGGTGTATTTATCACTGGTAACATACAGTATTCATACGGTATCTCAGGGTGTATTTATCACAGGTAACATACAGTGACCATACGGTACCCAAGGGTGTAATTATCACAGGTAACATACAGTGACCATACGGTATCCAAGGGTGTATTTATCACAGGTAACATACAGTAATCATACGGTATCCAAGGGTATAGTTATCACAGGTAACATACAGTGACCATACGGTATCTCAGGGTGTATTTATCACAGGTAACATACAGTAATCATACGGTACCTCAGAGTGTAGTTATCACAGGTAACACACAGTGATCATACGGTATCCAAGGCTGTAGTTATCACAGGTAACATACAGTGACCATACGGTATCCAAGGATGTAGTTATCACAGGTAACATACAGTAATCATACGGTATCCAAGGGTGTAGTTATCACAGGTAACACACAGTGATCATACGGTATCCAAGGGTGTTATTATCACAGGTAAGATACAGTGATCATACGGTATCTCAGGGTGTAGTTATCACAGGTGACATACAGTGAGCATACGGTATCTCAGGGTGTAGTTATCACAGGTGACATACAGTGATCACAGGTAACATACAGTAATCATACGGTATCTCAGGGTGTATTTATCACAGGTAACATACAGTAATCATACGGTATCTCAGGGTGTAGTTGTCACAGGTAACATACAGTGATCACAGGTAACATACAGTAATCATACGGTATCTCAGGGTGTATTTATCACAGGTAACATACAGTGATCATACGGTATCCAAGGGTGTAGTTATCACAGGTAACATACAGTGATCATAAGGTATCCAAGGGTGTAGTTATCACAGGTAACATACAGTGATCATACGGTATCCAAGGGTGTAGTTATCACAGGTAACATACAGTGACCATACGGTATCCAAGGGTGTAATTATCACAGGTAACATACAGTGACCATACGGTATCCAAGGGTGTATTTTTCACAGGTAACATACAGTGATCATACGGTATCCAAGGGTGTAGTTATCACAGGTTACATACAGTAATCATACGGTATCCAAGGGTGTAGTTATCACAGGTAACACACAGTGATCATACGGTATCCAAGGGTGTAGTTATCACAGGTAACATACAGTGACCATACGGTATCCAAGGGTGTAGTTATCACAGGTAACATACAGTAATCATACGGTATCCAAGGGTGTAGTTATCACAGGTAACACACAGTGATCATACGGTATCCAAGGGTGTTATTATCACAGGTAACATACAGTGATCATACGGTATCCAAGGGTGTAGTTATCACAGGTAACATACAGTAATCATACGGTATCCAAGGGTGTAGTTATCACAGGTAACATACAGTGATCATACGTTATCCAAGGGTGTAGTTATCACAGGTAACATACAGTAATCATACGGTACCTCAGAGTGTAGTTATCACAGGTA